CCAGGTTCGATCCCGCACCAACTCATGTTCACTCAGTTTCCAGAAAAAAGCGTCAGGCGTTGTTTTCTGTAGATATTGCACTACCTGGCAGCAGATGCCACCTTGAAGTTGCCTCTTTTTTTATTTATCCTTTTTTGAATCCTGGCCTCCATGTATATTGATCTCTTGTCTATCCCTGAAGTGTTTCAGGGATTCCTAGAACTCACAGTTGCAGAGAAGTTTGTTCCGGCGTTGTGCATCCATAACCATCCATAGACTCCACAATAACCCAAATGAGTTTCTTCTCTGCAGAGGTGGGTATCCCCACAAGGAAGAAAGGAGCGCAGCCAAGGCAGTTCAATTTCTTGGTTCGCGCGGAGCTTGCTCCGAGGATCCTGCGACGCGTAGGTAGCGACACGGTGCCTTTCAGCTCCTGGGCACCAGTATAGGGCTATATTGGGGATATATGGGGATAATTGGAAAGAAAATGGAAACTATCGGGATTACAGGTTTTTCAAGGAGGGCTTCGCGGTTTTGGGACTGCCCCGCAAGCATTATCGAAGGTTGTTGGATGCTGGATTCGGCAAACTAATGCTGGACCCTCTGTAGTATGGTGGGGTCGTCCCCCCCAAACAATTTAGGGGGTCCGGAATCAGAATTGTTGGAAGGTCTGAGCTGAATCAAAAAGGTATTAGGCATACTTAAGCGCTGAGCTTTTTTTATGAAGAAGAATTACTGATTCAAACTAGATGTGTTTAGTCTTAACACCTAGAAGAATATCGTTTGGGCCCCAAAAACTTGACATTCTAGCGGGTACCCCAAACATTTTTGCCTGTCCTGAATTAGTCCCCGAAACTTGACACAAAAGCGGGCCCCTGAGCAAAAGCGGGTTCAACATTACAGCCTGCTGGAGAGGAGTTGCAATCACCCCTACAAGCACGAAATGGCACAAAGGTAAGCCTTGTAAGATATGCAGTTGATGGGATCTCCGGGGTGAAAGGTGGGGGCTTGATTTCTGAAGGCAGTCGACACGCCGGATCACAGCCACACCCATGTTTGCTTGTCAGGCTACTCCATCTACATGGTTGCTGCCCCAAATGTGCCGTTTCTGGCCTACTACATCCCAAGGCGCGTCTTCTCGACGATTATCACGCATCCCCGTCAACTACACCTCATGCTTCCTAATCTCAGACTGTTCTGTACCTTTTGTAGGCCAGTCTCGTCAGCTCCGGAGCATGGAGTTCAACAGGTTCTGCCCGCTCTCTATCTTAAGCAGGTGGTTTGACCAAGCGCCTGTGAATGTGGGCTTCTCGCAGCTCTTCGTGTGGACGCTTCGCTTCTTGCTCGAATTGCTGCCAGGGTTTGCAACATGGAATGCAGGCGAAATCAGATCGAGGCCACTTTTGCAGATTGTTAGGGTTGTCCAGGGCACTTTGCGTGACTTCACTTGCTTTTTGCGCAGTTTGTACTGTGTACCAGCGCAAGCGCATTGGTGAACCCACAGACGACTATGGGAAATCCACCCGCTGCAGTGAGGCTGAGAACAGACCTGATCAGGGAACGCCTAGAAATTGGAAAGACCTGTCTTTCTCAGAGAGTTTCAAGTGACCATCATGCTAAGCCTGAATTGTGGCTCTTTGCACGGTACCTCAAACGGCTTTCAACACCGCATCTCAATGAATAATTGTAGCCTGATGTGCGGAGCTTTTACGAGAAGTCAGCTCATCTGTTGTGTAAGAAAATCATCCACGATGGCTGGACAGCATGAATGGTACAGTCGTATTTGTTTGGTCAGGAAGATTGGCAAGTCAGTATCCTCTAGTCTCACGACGTGCAGTATGGAAGCAGGGTCCAGTCCTCAAGCATGGGAGTGACAAAGCAAGGTCTGCAAAAACACACGAAGATCAGCTTCTGCTCAATCCCAAGCCTCTCCTCAATGCGCTCTGGCACTCCTCGATGTGGAGCTATTGCCATGCTTATGAGATAGACAGCTTGTTGATGCACATTGCCATCTCCCCGAGTTGGACTCATTGCTCAGTTTGGTAGTCCCGTACATCCAGCATCAGTGCTTCCATCCCCTTCCAAACATGGCATCCTAGTCTAACAGGTCGCGTTATGGGCTGGGCAATCCTTTCCCTCGTCGCGCTCTTCTCTGCATCTTGTCCAGAACAAATTGCAAGTTCTAGTTTCACCTGCAGTTGGCAAGGTGCCAGACTAGATATAACTGACCAAAGCCTTGTCTGGGTAACGTAAGTTTCTGCTGCAAGGCTCTTTAAAGACCACCCAAGGTGCGCGTGTCCATGTACCTCTGGAAGGCGGGCCACGCTTGGTGGACACTTGCGACCACTATGAACACGACAAGTGTAACTCCGCTCTAATCGCTATCGCAGAGTAACTTCAGCGGCTGCAGCGGACACTTCAGAGGGCGAAGGGCCACTTACTGAAGAGGTCCGCAGCTTCCTTGATTCCTTTCTGAAGTTCTAGAGGCGCTTGAGCCTTTGGACCTTCATCCTTCCGCGCGCTCTCTTTGTCTGTCTCGAGGAGTCGGGACGCGGCACTAAAGAGGAAGGAACAGGAAGGGAGTTCAACAGGACTTATAGGCAAGACCTTTGCGAGCTTAAGCTCTTTTTGGCCCAAGGGTCTTGAAGAACATCTTCGACAGTTATACCGACAGTAGTCACACTGGTGGCGCTGGTGAGTATCTGATTATCAATCTTTTGCATGGCATTATTCATCTTTATGATGATAATTGGCCACCAATCCAATTATCTCTGATCATCAACTTTTAACTTTGGATCTTGGACACCATTCCGATTGATCACCCTAGCCGCTTGGCCCATGCCTCCTCAACATTCATGCTAGACGAGCCAAACAATCAGCCCTCCGACCTCATGGCCTTGTTGGATGAACTGCACTTCATTAGATTCATGTCTTTTGGTGGCGGTCTTCTCCTCCAAGCATCTGCTAGAAGTGCATTTTTTCGCGAATGTTCCTCCATTTGTCATCTTGCGTAGTGCTCAGACTTATGCTTGCCAGCATCGTTGGCAGGGGAGTGTTCCCATGGCAACCGACTCCTAAATGCTAAGTCTGCTAAATCCCGGCAGGTGGGCTACTACCTCTCAAGGAAGAGATCGAAGATCTTGGTGTCTGTTGGGCTAATTGTTGCCACCTGGTCTGAAGGGGAATGGTAAGATGGTCGATGGACACAGTTCTGTCTTTGTTGCAAATCCTTTGCCGCAGTTTCAGAGTTGAAGCTGGAGTAAGTTTGGTTTAGGCCTGGACAGGCGAACCCAGAGACCCGTCCTCCTAGCCCATTTGGTCCCTCGCATTTTGAGTCACAAGGTGATGTTGGTGCTGGGCATCTGCGCCTGGCTGCCCTTCCAGCTAGCTTGTGCAACGACTGAGGAGAGAAAACAGTAGAATATGTACCCACACATTGACATATTCTGTCAGCGGCCGTGCTCATGTTGGAAAACCTATGCACAATGAGCTTGAGGCTGAGACGTGGAGATCCGAGCAGGGATGGAACAGTGATGCAATACAAGCTGCTTCGAAGTAATACGCCACTTTGCCTTTCCTTGCATGGTGGATTCTGATGCCTGCGAGGGCTGATGCTTCTTGTAACTTCCCCAAGCTTCATAAAGAAAGCAAGCTCAAGCTGCGGAAGCTGGCGATTTTGCAAATGATCAGGAGGATGACTTCCTACCTGTGATCCCGTTTGGCTTGCTTGTCGTTGCCGTGCCCCGGCTGCTCCGAAACATTTCACATGACAGCACTTTTTCGAAATGAACCCAGCGTGGCTTTCCCCGTGGCAGACTTTGAGGTACTTTATCTCTATCGCCCGGCCAATGTCAGCCCAGCGATGGAGAATTCAGAACAGGCTTCTGTGGAGGCTTGACAGTTCTTCATGCTGGTATTTTCTCGCAAGACAGTTAGGTTGGGTACCATTTTGCGAAGTATTGAGCATTGTACTGAGCCAATTTGTCAGTTGGCGAACGTGCTTCAGGACATTGTCTTGATGTTGCGCATGCGTACCTGCCTCTGTTGGCTGTATCATGCGCGCTGTGACGACACCGTCAATCGCAGACGGTGAAGCAACCATAGCAAACCGACCGCTAAGTGCATCCGTAAAGCAGGAGCAATGGGATTTTGCGATGGTGGACAGGAGGTTTTTTGTGCACCCAAACTTGTTCGCTTTCCCCACACGTTTTCCTAGAACTCCCTTCAAACGCTAGCAGTACATAGTCAGGCAGCAGACGCGGAGTCTGAGATCTCAGAGAGCCAAAGCTCTACGTTCAGTATTTGAAGCGTGGGAGTCGGGGTCTTACACTCCATACGCATCGCGTGAGGGAGGCATAGAAAACTGGAGATCTTCCAGGTTCAAGAGTTTTGTGTTTTTACGAGTGTGTCCCCCACTCACTTGCATCCTGGTCCAAAGGTGGCGCAAGGATGTATTGGCGTCCCAGGTGTTGTCAGACCTGGTTGCGCTCCGTGTGCCGGAAAGGATTTCGAGTCCTTCAAGCTGCTAGTGTGCTCGCACAAGCCGCAAATCATGTCTGCCAAGTTACGGGCCTTTAACACTTTTTAAAATGAGTACGCACCGATTAAGCTCTGGTTACTTGCCTACAGCTTCGCGATGAGTTCAGGAGTTAGAGCCAGGACGGGTCCGAGAATGTCACGTTCTCGCTTTTTTTGCTGCTGCTCTGCTACGTACATTTTCTTCCGTACCCTCCTAAGTCTTAGTAATGCGGATTGGCAGGATTCACTTGCAGAGATGTAGCGATATTGTAATGTTCTCCAGCGCGGGTGTCCAGAATTCTGTTGGACTCAGGCTCAGGTGATGTAGCCGTTTAGACTGTAGCCGTGAAGGCACAGTGAGTTCCTAGCTTCCGACCAGTGACCAGCGCGCAATGGGAAACTGCTTCGAGGGCTTGTTTGCCAACACCCCTGTCTCCGAGCAGGATGTTCGCAAGGCACAGGCAGCATGGGCAAGCGCAATCAAGAGCATCACGAAAACCTACATGGACAAAGGTGAGGGTTTCTCAAACTTTGGGAGTCCTTTAGACCTTGTAGGGATACAGCGGGGTCGTAGGAGGATTATGGGAGCGCCACTTCAAAGGGATTCTACAGAGATGGTTGTGAGAAAGTGGCAGGTGACTATGTTGCAGCCGCCGCCAAAGCTGCAGGTGAATTGTACTGCTACGGACACAGCAACGTGCCGTTCAAGCCAACCAAAGCCAAGGATGTTCAGTTCCGGCCCAATGCCAACCAGGCCATGTCCTACTTCGTAGGAGCCAAGGCTGTGAGTGATGGAACTCCGGAGGATGGCGGCTTCGCAATCAATGGCGGCAAGGGCTGGTCCGAGGTTGTCTTTGATAACCACCAGATCGACTGCCACGGCTCGGTTGCAATCGCCATGGGAAACTATTACTTTACAAATGCAACGGACCAGAGCAAAACCAAGGTGAAGTATACCTTTGGTTACAAGCGATGTCCTGACGGCCGCGTGCGAATCTGCCTCCACCACTCATCGGTCCCGTTCGCGGGCTGATTCATCCCACTGAAAGCCTTTTCGCGGACTTCATTCGCCGAACCAACCTCCGATTTTCCATATCGAAGTTTTGAGAGATGTATAGAAACTTGCTGCCCCTGAGTGGGCGCAGCTGAGGGGTGTTGTTGCAGGTAAGGTGTGACGTAGCTGTACAGCTACATGCTCCATTGAGCTCAGATCTCTAGAGCATCAAGCGTCTAGACGGAGATGCCAGAGTCGTGTGTAAGAAAAAAGTGTCAAAAGTGCCGCTGTTTGCAGTGGGCATGCCGCGTGGAAAGAGATACGATTGAGCATGTTTGCAGTTCAGGAGTTAGAGCCAGGACGGGTCCGAGAATGTCACGTTCTCTTTTTTTTTGCTGCTGCTCTGCTACGTACATTTTCTTCCGTGCCCTCCTAAGTCTTCGTAATGCGGATTGGCAGGATTCACTTGCAGAGATGTAGCGATATTGTAATGTTCTCCAGTGCGGGTGTCCAGAATTCTGTTGGACTCAGGCTCAGGTGATGTAGCCGTTTAGGCTGTAGCCGTG